GCTCAGCCTCACGGCTGCAGGGTGGCCCTGGGACAGTGGCTTGCTCTCTCTGAGCCTCAGTTTCCCCTCCTCCTTTCTGGAGTTTTTGTGATGCTTCAAGGTAGTGGGTCGGCAGGCACCCTGTGTAGTGCCTGGCGCCCAGCTGTCATTACGGGTAAGGTGACCATGCTTGTTTGGGGACAGGTTAACACCTGTTGTTCCAGACTTATTACTAACATTGTCCCCTTTCATTCTCAGAATCGTCCAGGTTGAAAGCTAAATTCTGTGGAGAGTCTGGCTGGTGTCTCCCAGACCTCACAGCTGACAATCTGTGCTCAGAGTGACACACCCAGTGCAGGCGGGTGGAGGGCCCCATCTCTGAGGAAGCTCGCAGTCAGCTCCCTCTGCTCCACTTAAAAAAATACAGATGTTTAGTTTTTTTGCTGTGTCTTTTATAATTAATTTTTTAGAGGGGGGAGGAAATTGGTTTTTTTTTTTTAATGGAGGTGCTGGGGATTGAAGCCAGGACCTCGTGATGCTAAGCATGCCCTCTACCACTGAACTATACCCTCCCCCCACCACTTTCGTTCATCTTGATGCTCAAGGTCTTGGCTCACTGGTCGCACCTGCATCCTGCCTGCCTTTTTTCTGCCCATGTACTAGGAAGGGTCAGAATCTCGACTGCGGAAGGACGTACAGAACTCCTGTGTCACAGCCTTTTGTGATGAAGATGTCAGAGCATGTGGAGCCTGTTCCCATCTCCCACAGCCACCATCGGGCCTCTTGATGCCCATCATGAGACGGTTAAGAGAGAAAGAGCAGCAGGTAGAGCCCAGGTGTCCAGGGGTGCAGCGGCCAGGGGGCATGGGCCTCCCTCCCCACCTGCAGCCACTCTGCTCTGCCCTGGAGCCCGGGGAGGGTGTGGCACCCCCTGAGTGGTGGCACTGTCTTCAGTCTAGTGGCCAAGGGGGCCACCTGCTGTCATTGTTCCCGAATGGACCGGGGCTTGCATGCACACCTGTCGCGTTTCACAGCTCAAAGAAAGAATGGCGCCCAGCATGGCAGTCGGCCCTCCGCAGAGAGGTGTGAGTGGGGGAGTGAATGAATAAACAGACATTATTCCCTCATCAACCCTGTTCATCACTCTCCCCTTCCTCCTGGCCCCAGGCCACACCCTGCAGAATGAGGGGTGAGTGGTGTGATTGGGGGGCCACGTCGTAAGATAAGGCCTCACTGCAGGGATCCTGCAAGGCCATAGCACTGGCCCCCACCCAGGTCCGGGGAGAGACTGGGCCTGAGTTCCTTCCCTCCAGACACACGCGGCAGTCAGCTCTTCTGGCCTCTCGAGGTGTTAGTAACGGCTTACAGCCTGGTAGAGCCGGCCTTACAAATTCTTCTCCAACAAACTGGGTGTCGCTGGCTGCTTTTGCTGGTTCTCCAGCGCCTCCCTCAGCAGTGCATATTTAAGTGCTTATAAATTACAAGGTGCGAGTCAAATAAAACTAAGTATTTGGGGAAATAATAACTATAGATCGGTGGTCAGGAAGCAGTTAAAAAAATAAACCACCCAGAGAGTTCAGTGAAAGCCATCCTTCCAGCCCTGGATGGTGGGCGGCAGGGGAGATGCTCACAGGCCTAGAGCCCCCACGCCCTCCGGTGCCCCCAGTGCTTGTCTGTAACTCCAGATCCAGGCCGTGAACATGCAGGTGGAAACTTCTCCCTTCCTGGGAACTTCTCCTGGGTGGTAGGAGCCTGCCCCCTAGCTGGGCTGCACCCCATGTTACCCCAGGCGCAGCTTCACTGTGTTAAAATCCACACGTAAAGCCTTCAGTCCATTTGAGGAAATGTGTGTATCCTGACCTGTGGGCAACGCCGCGGTGGGAAAGAGATGACACTTACTAGAGGTGGTGGCTGTTCCTCCCCCTGTGCCGCCTTCTCTGAAGCCCCAGCGGAGTTTTCTGGAAGACTGTGCTCAGGCCCCTCCCGAGGAGTGCTGTTCATTGTATCCGAGCTGGGCATTCTAGAACATTCTCTCTGTCAGCTGATGTGGCTCACTCATTGTGCTGTCTTTCACCTTGGACTTGTGGTCTTTTTTTTTTAATTTTAAAGATAGGATTCACGTGCACTTAAATGTATTGCAAAATGGTGTGTCCCCAAGAACCTGGTGAACACCTTATTCAAAGGGTCTCTCATTTCTCTGGAAAGGAGTGAATGCTGCCTTTGCGTTAGCCCAGAGCCAATTGTCTGTTACCCCCAAAGTGGATCCCTCGCTGGGCTTCCAGGATCACCTGGCTGAGACCCTGCACTACGTGTGTGGGGGCGGGGGAGGGGTGCTCAACCCTGCAAACCTCGTGCTTTCCCAGTGCTCGAACCAGCAGCACCCAGCACAGCACATGCTCTTCTCGGGAGGGTCCTTGGCTCCTATGTGATGCTCGGAGAACCTGAGACCCACGGGGCGGAGACCACTTGTCTCTGCACATGGGGTGGCTGCCAGCTTCCTTGGCAACTCCAAGCAAAGGCTGTGTGAGGTGAGGACCTCTCTCCAGTGCCCAGCAGGGGGATACTGAGCCTGTGGGTGGAGAGCCCTCACGGTTGAATTAAACATGCTAAGTTTACTGAATCAAGCATTGTCGCAGAGGAAGCATGGGAGGGGGTTTCCACTGGGGTAAGAGCATGGGAGTGGCTCCCGGAAATCTTGATGCTTCAGCCAGGCACCGAAGGAGGGGCGCACAGGAAACCATCTACAGGTTGGGGGAGTGGACTTCCTGCCCTCTTTGGGCTCCCGGCTGCCGAACCACCCCCACACAGTCATTGAGAGCCCCTGGCTGAAGCCAGTGTCTGGCCGAGGGTCCTTTGACTGTTGGAGTGATGGGTAGGGGACGGCAGCGCCTCTGCTCTCTCTGAGATACTGTGTGGCTTCTCGCTTAGTATTCTTATTCCACGAGCAGCTGCCGCGGGCTGGTCCGCCGGCCCTGGCATTTGAGTTCTTGCAGACTCAGACTCCAGCTGCGTCTGCTGTTCCACCTGGCCCCTAATGTGCAGGTCTGGCTGCATGCTGTCCCCGCCCCTCCTGGCCCATTATTTGGTGGACTGGCTTGACTGGCTGGGATGCAGTGAATGGGGAGGGTTTGGCCCTTGCAAAGTGTTAACCTTGCCTGTGACTTGCCCCTGACAATTTGGTGGGTCATGTTCTCTTGACTAAAAAGCTTTGTGCAAGAGGTTGTTTCTTCCAACTTCACTGGGGAGAAAGGAGGGTGGCCGTGGAGGGGATTACCAAATTCCCCCTGAGTCTTTAAACACAGCAGTGAACGCTGACCTTTCCGCCCGATCAAAAGTGCTGCTCATTTAAAGCTCTGTCGTTATTTTAGGCACCGCTCAGAAAGAAAACCTAACCCAATGAGTGGGCTGCAGTCGGAGGCACAGACGTGGCCACCGAAGGGCCACAGGCTCAGAATGGAGCCCACCCCAGGAGGGGACAGCACGAGGGTCGCCTGCGCTCACGCTGGCACACCGCGGTGGTGGAGGGGAAGTGAAGAGGCCTTCCCGAGAACGTGTACCACCAGCTGGCACTCAGGAAGCCTGGGACCTGCACTCACCCTCCCAGCGTGAGCAGAAACCTCAGAGGGGAAGTCAAAGGGGAGTGCCTGGGAGACGGGCTGGAGCAAGGGGCTTCTGGAAGGACGAAGCCACAGTCCAGGTGGACAGAGGGCTGCGTGGAGCACCAGCGCCCCAGACTCTGAGGCTCTGCGGTGGCTGGAGTGAGTGGCTCCTTCTCTGAGCCAGGGATGGATTGAAGCCTTCTTCCTAGGTGTCCACATAGGAGGTACTGTCACTGTCACCCCAGCCTCTGGGCTAAGTGGCTCATCCCAAGTCTTAGGGCTGAGTGGCATCTGGCTCCAGGATCTGGCCTCCCCGCTGCCCAGCACAGCTGGTGAAGGAAATCCATAAAGGCACCTGGCTCTACAGAGCGTCTGGGCCAACAGCCCAGTGTGGGAGGGGCCTGGCCCAGGTGACAATGCTGGGCTGTGGACCCCATGTCTGGCCCTCATCGTCCCCCGTGCTCAGGACATGAGCATACCGGTGTTCACGCTGGCTGGACTGCAGCTGGGGGACTGTGAGAAGTGGCTGGCAGGCAGATGTGTGCACATCTGGATGGCAGAGTGAGCACCTGCTCAGCTCTGGGGCAGGGGGAGCTTCAAAGGCGCTGGCTAAACACCAAAGTAGTCCTGATCCTGGGAGGAGAGAAGGGCTCTGGGCAGAGAGCAAGGTCCACCTTTCTCTCACCTTGGGTCTGAGGGTCCTGGGCCTCCCTCCTCCCAGGCCCTTCAGGCCACCTGCCCAGATGGCTCCAGGTGGTGCAGGTGGGGCATGGGGGAGGGGAGGGAAGTGGGGGGGCTCTCTCACTCCCCCAGGTGCAGACAGTGGCTTTGGGCTCTCTGCACTGGGCTCTCTGGCCCCTCCAGGTTGCTTTTGCCTCTCATCTGGTGTGCGGGGAGAAGGGAAGAGGCACCCAGGGAGCTTTCCTACCAACCCCAGGACGGCCTGTGCTGAGTCAGTGGACGGACACCAGTGGTTTCCAGGCTTTCTGAGAGCGCAGCAGGGGGCTTCTCCCTGGGGTGTAGGCTCAAAGGTGAGCAGTCGCTCAAGGCAACAGAGCTCCTCGCCCTTTCTGGTACCTAAACACCCCCTAGAGACCCTCCAGGTGCTTCCATGGAGGAGGACAGGGTGGGGAGGTGGGGACACTCCCTCACTCCTCTCATGGGACCTGGGCCCAGAGCTGAGGGGGGTTTGGCCTGGCTCCCAGCCAGTTGGGTCCAGTGCTGGGCGAGGACCCCGCCTCGCCCCCGAGCCGGCCCGTCCAGGAATCACGGTTTGTAGGCAGGGTCAGCGGAGGATCCAGAGGTCAGGTGGGAGGCGGAAGCCGAGCCCCAAGGGGGGCGCTCACCCTGGGGGCGGAGCACCGGCCCGGAAGCGGGCTGGGCGCTGCCCGTCCCTCCCGCCGCATCGCTCTGCGCTCTGCGCGGTTCCTGGCGCCTCGCTGTAACCCGACTCCGCGCTCGCTCGTGGGGGGCGGGAGCCCGAGCGGCGCTGCGCCCCGGCCCGAGTGCCACATCACTCGCCCGCCGCCCTGCCCGCCGCCCACCATGCTGCCCCCGCCGCCACCGCTGCTGCTTCTCGCGGTGCTGGTCGCCGCCGCCGCCCGGCCGGGGTGCGAGCCCACCAGGGGCCCCGCGGGTAAGGCCGGACAGCCCGCGCCCTGGGGTGGAACGCGGCGCCCCGGAACCGGGAACTTTCCCCCTCGTGACCCATGGCCCTGGAGAACGTCCCCAAGTGGGCGCCCTATGCCCTGGGACCTGGGGGTCTGCCCAGGAGGGTAACCCGCCCCTCTGAGCGCATCAGGGCTGGGACCCCTCCCACCCACCGCCAGCAGAGCGCACAGGCGACTTGGGAGCAGCGGAGGTACCCAGCGTAGCGCCCGGGTTCTTCTTGGTCTGGGCACGGCCGGCCGGGGCACCGTGCAGGTGGGATCTGAGGGAGCAGGTGCTAGGACCTTGAAGGAGGAGAGGTCCTCCAAGGCCCCGGTCCTTCCAGGAAGGGGGCGGCCTCTGGGCCGTGCAAACTTTTGATGCCTCCTTCTCAACCCTGTGATGTGGACAACAGCGACTCCGGAAGTGGGCCCAAAGGACCTGGGAGGGGGTTCGGGCTCTGTGGGGGGTGGGAGTGTGGGGGCTCAGAGAGTGGGCACTCTTGGAAGATTCTGGGGCTGGGAGAGGGGCAGAGCGGCAGGACCCAAGGACCCTCCAGGGGCGGTGTGCCTGGGAATGTGGTCACACCTGACAGTGCAGGGTGTGGAGCGGGGGCAGGGGGCCAGCGGGGAGCCTGGACTCTGGGCCTGGTCACACTTCCCCTTCTGGCACTGGATCTCAGTTTCCCTTCACATTTAAAGGTGAGGGTGCGTCTAGTCTACTGCCCTCAGGGTCCTTATCAGCAGCAGACAGCTGTACCCCTGGGGGGGTGGGGGTCCCCTCGGGCACGGGGGTCTGGGCGCATCAGAATTGGAGTCTCTCAATTGCTAGAGGTTTGTGGATACCTGAGAACGTGCTGGCACCAGCCAAGTGAACCTGCCAGGAGCAGAATGCCTCTCTCAAATGTGCCAAGGTCCACCTTTTCCTTTTCTTCTCTCTCCACCCAAATTGGATTTTCTCTCCATCTCTGCTCCCCCTACCCCCACCCCACCCATCTTTTCTCCCCCATTTTCTACAGAAAGGCCTGGGCCACCAGAGTGTGTGTGTGTGTGTGTGTGTGCGCGCACACATGAGGGCCTGTATGTGCACAGGTGCACAGTGGGATGCAGATGGAACTCTCATGGTGTCATGGATAGACCCCCCCGAACCCCTGAGGCCCCAGGAAATGTCTAGAATTATAGGCTTGTCAGGATTACAGTCCCCTCCTCCAGGAAGCTCTCCCTCACTGGCCCTTTTCCCAGGGAGAAACGCAACCCTCTCTTTGGATGCAGGCTGTCCCTTCCCCACCTGGAGGGATGGGCAGGGTGGCTCTCTGTCCTCGGTTCCACAGTGACCTCAGTGCCTGCTTCTAGAATAAGTCCTTTCTCCCGTTGGACCGTCTCCTTGCAGACGAGCATGTGCGGTCAGTCCACGGAAGCCCAGTGGCTTTTCCAGACTACAGACTGACGTGGGCGGGGCCGCGCAGCTTGAGGCCAGGCTGCGATGTCCAGGGCCACGTCCACATCCTGTCTTACTGCCTGAGGACTCAGAGCAGGCCCAACCCTTCCTCACCTGCCTGTCCTGTTCCTCCTTCCAGATCTTCACCCAGAGCCTGGGGTTTGAGGCACCTTTCGTGCTTCTCGGGGCCAGGTGGGTCAGGGTTCAAATCCTGAGTCATATACACTGCTGTGTATATGGGCAGATGGCCTGACCTCTCTGACCTCATTCAGGTTTTTCGCATCTGTTATTGTCCCTGGTCTTTAAGATGTCCAGCCCCGGGTCAGTCTTGGTCTCTTGATTGAAGACATGCTGACACCTTGTGGCCAAGAGGTGTAAGGGTCACGTGTGAACTGCTGAAAAGCAGCCTTAGGACCAGCGCTGTCCAACAGCACGATGCCAGCCACAGACACCACTTGACACCTCCCAGAAGCCACCCGACAGAGATAGTAAGACGCAGGTGAAGTTAACTTGAGTAACAGATTTTATGTAACCCAGTATATCCAAAATATTGTTTCAGTATTTTGTCATCAATATAAACATTACGAATGAACTATTTTACAATTTATTTTTAGTGCCAGGTCTGAAATTAGTATTTTTCACTTAAAACACATGTCGATTCGGACTCGGAGCATTTCAAGGGCTCAATAGCCCCACACGGCTAGTGACTACCATACTGGACTTTGTGGCGAGAACAGCGCATCCCTGTCTTGACCCGACCTCCAGCCCGACCCCGAAGGCACACACCAGGGCCTGTTTATTGTTATGAGTTGAGTGGTATCCCCCAAAGACATGTTGAAGTCCCAGCCCCTGCCCCTACCCTGTACCTGGGACTGGGGCTTTTTTGGGAAACAAGGCTTTTGTTGATGTGGTCAGGTTAGGCTGAGGTCGTCCTGGCTTAGGGTAGGCCCTGAATCCAATGACTGTTGTCCTTAGAAGAAGATGGAAATTTGGACACAGACACAGCAGAAAGGACATGGGGTGATGGAGGCAGAGGTTGGGCTGATGTGGCCACAGCCAAGGATTGCTGGGAGCCCAGACGCTGGAGGAGGCAGGAGACCCCTCCCTCAGATGCTGCAGCAGGGGGTGGCCTGCCAGCAGCTAGATTTCAGGCTTCTGGCTTCCTGAACTGTGAGACAATCAGTGTCTTCTGTATCAATTTGTGCTACTTTGTTACGGGAGCCCCAAATCCACCCGTCTCTCTGTCTTGGTCCTCGTGGCCACCTTGGATTCAGCAGGCGCTGACCAGGTCAGCAGGTGCCAACCCTTTGTCCATCCCACTGAGCACTGAGGTCTGGTGGGAGCGTCCCAGTGGGCTGTCCCTCCTTCTCCCTGTGCCACCTGAGCTACTGTTCAGTGAGCCCTAACTGGGCCCGAGCCCTTCCCTCAGCACTGCCTCACTGGACCCTCCAACAGCCATGGGCACTATTTTACAGATGAGGAGCCTGAGGCACAGAGAGGGACTTAACCTCTGAGCTTCAGCTTTCTCATCTAGAAGTTAGGGAGACTTGAAGCCACGTGACACCAGGAGGGCGCCACCTGGTCCCACTCAGGTCCACCCAGTCCTGTGGCATCTGATGGCTCTGAAGGCACGGGTGTGGGGGTAACTGCTGCCCTGTCTCCTCACCCAGTGTTTCCCTAAGGCCGGCAGAGGCCCCAGGGCCACAGGGAGCTCTGCTCGCTGAGCACCTGCTGAGGGTCTGAATGAATCTCCAGGTTCGTCCACTTTCAGCTCAGGGCCAGGCGCTCAGCAGGCACACACTCCGCAGGGGGGCTGCAGGTGAGGGGGGCTGGCATCTGTGCCTGGAGCTGTTTGTCTGGGGGTGGTGCTGAGCTGACTGAAACATGGCATCTGCCTGGGTCCCAGCTCGCACAGGCTGTGGCGGATGGCACGTTGGCTGAGTGTGAATCCTCAGTGTGAGCGCCGGGCATGGATGCTCCCACGGGGCCCTGCTCCGGCTGGGCCCTTTCATCTGTTCTCCCGACATCCGTGTAGACAAGCAGGTAACAGCGCGGTGTTCCAAGCAGAGTCCTGGTCAGTTTCTTGTTTGTGTCTCATTTCTCCTGATTTTGGTTCTCCCTCAGGCCTCCTCATTCCACAGAGGGCAGTGGGCGCAGGTCTGGGGACACTTTAGACCATAATGGCTTGGAGTCGGGGGATGGAGTCGGCCATGTGCTTGGGAACTCCCAGGCCTCGTGCCAAGAACAGGTGGCTCATGTCGCCTGCTGTCCCCAAGCTCGCTCACCACCAGCCTCATCCCAGCGCGCGTCGCGGGGCATGGAGGGCGCAGGTGGGGACCCGCTGCAGCCCTCTCTGCTGCTTTAGGGGCTGGAGTCCCGTGTCCTGGGTACCTTAGGGAAGTGATATTCTCACCTGTGACTTTGCCCAAGGGGCTCAGTGGGTTAAGACAGCCTGGGATCCTCGGCTCACCTGCTGGTGAGAGGCTGCCTTGAACGTCTCCATCCCACAAGAACTTCCAGGTCTGACGGGTCAGGGCCTGAAGCTGCCCAGTCCACGGTGGGGGACCCGTGGTTCCTAGTCCACGTTGGGGGAACCACGTGTAGAGTTTCCTGCGAAGGGCTGCCTGGCCAGCCCAGCATCCCTGCCACGTGTGCTCAGCCAAGTTTCCACGACCCCCAGATCACAGGGCGAATCCCTAAGTGGCTCCCACGCTTGCCCGACTGTGGCCCAGGCCTGGGTTTTACGTGAGGTTGCGGGGTTAAACAGGCCCTGCCCTCCAGCCTAGCCCCCTCCCCTGGCCCCTCCTGGGCTTCCCCCGCTTTCTTCGTTCCCGCTGTCCTGCCGCCCCGCCTGCACTGCTCCCGGACTCCTGCTCCAGCCGAGCTTTAAGCCCGACGTCGGCTCCCGTCCCTCGGAGCCAGCTTTTCCCTCTTGGCACTCGCAGAGCACTGGGACCAGCCTCTGACGGGGAACCTGACAAGTGGCGATAGTGAAGATTGGTTTCAGTGGCCTTCCCAGGGTCTCACTGTTGGGTCCATGTGTCTGGGCCGCGGGGAGGACGCTTGAAACCCACGCTTCCAAGGACAGTTTGTGCTGGTCCTCTTCACACTGCACTGCAGGCTGTTCTGGAGGGGAGCGGGCTGGTGCCGGCAGGGCTCTGGGGGGAGCTTAAAATAACGTGGTGTCAGTCAGTGGTGGGGCGGGGCCCCCAGTACAGGCTCTGTCCAAGGCGGCTCGCTAAGTACTTGGGAATTTGGTGACAGCTAGTTGTCTGATTGCTGGAAGGTTGAAACTGGCCGCAGTGGAAGTGTTTACAGCACAGCGATCGGCCAGCACCCTGACTCAGGGCTCTCTCATTTTGGCTGTCTCTCCGTAGGCGAGTCCCATGACCTCCCTGGGACTTGGGCGCCGCACCTGTGGGAGGAGGGAGAAGGGCCACGTCGACTTCAGAGGGAGGCTGTGAGGGCTGAATCAGATGCTGCTTGAGGGGCAGGCATGGGCTGGGGGCCCAGAGGGCACTCGGTGAGTGGGTGGCTGCCACGAGAAGCAGCAGCCCCCATGGTGCACACAGGGGACGACGGACAGGCCGGGCTCAGTGCCCCTGACAGGCTGCCTTTCCCTTCCCAGGCGGATGCCCCAGGCTGTCAGCTGCGGACAGCGGTACGCTCCACGGACTTCCCGTGCTTGTTTCACTGGAGCCACGCGGCCCCTCCACCCTACCAGAGTGTTTTAGAGGGCGGAATCCAGGGTTCTGCAGGGGATGATTAATAGGACGGCCCATTAATCAATCCAAACCCTTTCTTAAACAACTGGAAGTTAGGCAAAATGGAAAAGGAGGCCCTTCCCTCTGTGCAGCCTGGACTCCCAACCCTGGGTCTGCCCCGGGCTCCTGCAGAGGGTCCTCTCTGCCTCCTGACCCCAGCCGCCCCTAAGGTGGGCTCTCAGTGGGCTGGGGTCCGACCTTGAAGTGTGTGCACTGTGCTCGGCCCTTTATCCTGGGAGTACCTGGCTCTCAGCCCCGTGCACGGCGCCTGCTGAGTCCGCGGCTGGGGCAGGCCCCTTCCCTCTTTGGCCCTGGTTCCTCCTCTGTAAAGCGAGGACTGGGGTACTGATCTCAGGGGATGGCTTTGAAGAGGGTGTGGATCTGGTGTAGCAGAGGGGCTCAGAAGCAGACGTTCCTCTAAGTCTCCTCCTGCCAGGTTTGGGCACTTGGTTTGTTCTGAGTGGAGGGAATAGATTTTTTTTTAAGTAGGGAAATATTTCCCCAATACAAAGTCAGTGATGTGCCCTAATATGGCAGAGCCTCGGCAAGGCTGGCTTTCCTGTGCCCATTTTGCAGATGTGGAAGCTGAGACCCAGATCAGCCTTCCTGGCTCGCTATTGCTGAGTGGTTGGGTCCAGTGACATTAGGAGACGTCCCTGGTCCTCCCAGAGCCCCTGGCGTCCTCCACAGTGGGCCTTGTCCTGGCCTTTCCCTGCCAGGTGGTGGGTGCCTGTCCCCGCAGGCCCTGAGTGAGGTCTGGGTGGGCAGAGCAGGGCCTTAGTAAGTGTCTGCCGCATGTCAGCAGGCAGGGGCCAGCGGGGGAGGGAGTGACCTGGTGTCCCGCCTCCCCCCAGCCATGTGTGTGGACCTGCAGCTCAGGACCTGCAGCGACGCGGCCTACAACCGGACGGTCTTCCCCACGCTGCTGAACCACCGGTCCCGGGAGGCGGTGGAGTCCAGCTCCGAGTACATC